TTCTTGGGTGAATGGAGCAGAATAGTGGAAAGTTTTTGCTTTGTAATTTGATATTGACTCAAAGGATAGCCAATAAAAAATAAAAGCAAGAACAGATGGGGTTAAGAACTGACATGATGTACACATAAAGTAATATGGCATTAGTATAATTTAATTAAATTGCATATATACTAGAATCTTATAACAAAATTATAGATTAGATGGGGAGGTCAGTTTTGAAAACCATCAGAAAAGGTTCAATTAATACCAAAAGAATTGTATAGGTGGTCTAATTTATAAGGTGGTCATATGTTATGGTCCCTGATGATTCATTATAGTAAGACTCCAGTTTTTACCTAACAAGTTTTTTCCAGCATAACCTAACAAATTTTTAAGCCTTATTTTAATTCACTTACATCCAACATATACAAACGTTACCAAAGCCAATGGCCTAAATGAGACATGTTTTTGGACATAGTTAATATGGGAATTTGTTTTACTTGACTGTTAGAAGGGTTTTGTTTTTCTTATTTCTCTTTTCTCTAATGGAGTTAGAGAAAAATGCATGTTAATTTAAAAAAAGTAAAAATTCAACATTTTAAAAGCATTTTATACATAAGATACTTAGGTGAATAGTAAACTTGGTTGAGATCATTTTGAAAGGCAGGAGAAATAATTTCTTTCAGAAGTTATTTTTTTCCTGGCTAAACTCAATAGTAAAAGAAAGAAAAGGCTAGCTGATTTTTGTATATACATTTGTATATTTTATGTATTGACTCTAGTTGGGGGAATGGAATGAATGCATGATAGAAAACAAAATTGAATTCTGAATTCTGTGGCATACTCTAAATGTAGAATTTCAGAGGATTGTCAGTGAAGGCTAGAGTACTTGGTGAAAGTTTCATGGAGTACAAAAGACTTGACCTGAACCAGCAGCAGTTTGGGGAGATTGTGAGAAGATCCCATTGAGAGGGAATATCATGAGCAAAGGCAGAGGCAGGAATAAGAATGCCCTGCTTTCCAAACTGACCAGCCTAGAATAGGATAAAGATTAGAGGAAATCAGTATGTTGGAATCCCTACACCAAGGCAGGTTGCAGCGCTTCCATAAAATACAAAATACTTTTAGGTCTGGGAGGCTAAAAAGATTGCCCATGTTCAGTGTGCCCAAGGTGTAGGGCTTGGGCTCCCCTACATCTTGCTGAATCCAAGTTCAGGTCTCTTTTTCTACTACCTCTAAAATTAAGCTGTAGTATGAAATTGTTGGAGAAATGGATTGCGGTTGGATTGTTTGGGCAGAAAAATGTAATTTGATATAGAAAAATAGGAATCTTAAGTTTCTGAGCAACACGATAATATGAAAATTATGAAAAATATGAAACAGTATGGATGATGAATGAACTCAAGAATGTGTGGAGAGACTGTTGAAGTAACCTAGAGGATTTGGCCTTGAACAGTGGTAGCAGGAATGCAAATGAGCTGGGTTGTAGGGAGAATTGGTTATTAAATGGATAAAGATTAAAGTGAAGGAATAGAATGAGCTAAAGGTACAGAATGTATAGGGGAATGGAGTCACTGTTGTCAAGAAATTTGAAAACAGGTTGGTTTTGGGGATAGGATGAATTTGATTTGAAAATAGTTGGAAGTAGTAATGTAACATCCAAGTGGAAATGTCAAGCAGATAAGGGGGAGAGAGAGAGACAGGGGTGTGTGTGTGTGTGTTTTATAATTTAAAACTAATGTTGGGGCAACTAGGTGGCGCAATGGATAAAGCTCCGGCCTTGGAGTCAGGAGGACCCGAGTTCAAATGCGACCTCAGACACTTGACACTTACTAGCTGTGTGACTGTGGGCAAGTCACTTAACCTGGATTGCCTCACCAAAAAAAAAAAAACCAATAAAAAAAACTAATGTCAAGGCTTTTAAAGTTATTGAGATAGTAATGTTTGAGTTATATTCTGCTAAAAATGGCAGTAAATAGATTTGATATCTATAATTATGCAGTAACACCTTTTAATTATATTTGATTAATTCTTTTTTGATTAATTCATAATGACTTAGACATTTTATGAGAGATTTTCAGAATTCAGTTTATAAAGTTGCCATTTGGAAATACCAGGAGTCGTGAATTGGATTTTATTTCCATATCTGTATGGACTTTCTGTGCCTGAACTCTGGATGTAAAATGAGGGATGATAATGTTTATAATACCAGTTCAAAAGTGTGTTTAGAACAAATGGATATATTCACACACATATGCACACACATATACATACACATACACTTATATAGTATACATATACAAAATAAACACTTTGAAATCTTCCTTAAAAAGCAATATATTTTAAATGATGATTATTAAAATTGAATGGAAAAAAATCTTGAATTAAAAAAACCAAACTTTTTCTTTAAAGGAATTGGTCATCTTTGTAACATTTATGGCAATGTAAAGAACGTAATGAGAGGCAATCTGATGTAGTGCATAGAGAGCTAACTTTTCAATTAGAAGACCTGGGTTCAAATCCTGCCTCTGACACATTTGTTCTGTAAGTTTGGATGATTACCTTCACCTCTGTGCCCTATCTGACTCTCAAGACTACCAGAGATGATATGGATTTGTGCTGGTAGAGCAATCTTTCAAGCCTTTATTAAGCATCTCCTATGTGGTATGAAGAGAACTAAACCTGTTTCCTTCCTTCAAGGAGCTTACAATATAACTGGGAAGATAATATGTGTGTGTGTATGCATGTACATATGTATATATATGTACAAAATGGACACCAGAAAATCTTTGTGAGGAAGATACTGGCAATTAAGGGGTTGGATTGAGCGAGACCAGTACAGGTCCCTCAGAATGTGAGACTTGAGTTGAATATTGAAGGAATTTAGGGGTTCCAAGACATGGATATGAGGAGAAAGCATCCCAGGTATGGGGGGTCACTAGTGCAAAGGTAAGACAGAATTTCCTCCCTGGGGTCTTTCTACTGATGTAGATTGGACGTGAGTCCAATTAAAGAAATTTGAGTGTTCTGCATGTTGAAGGTTTATTTAAGTGTTTATGAAGATCCTAATTCAGGAAAAAAGTGTAAACAGTGAGGCTTTTTTAAAAAGGAGAACCTACATTTCATTGATTGTAGTTTTGTATGAGTAATATAAAGCGTTACTGATCTATAATAATTTAACAAATAAGCGTTTCTAAATTGCTTCTCATTTACAAAATTTTTATTTTATAGAATTCTAAAATGAAGCATATAAAGTCATTCTATCAAAAGTTCCCCTTAACCTACTTACTGTAGCATTTCCATTGTTTCTTGACATTGCTACTTTGTTAATATCCTTGTTGTGGACAGTGTTTTCCTGTGGCCATTAATTTCCATCTAAAACTTAGTTATCAGTATTATACCTTGAGCTCTTAATTGTGTTTTTATTTATCAGCCCTAATGTTTTTCCAGGGAGTCAATCATCTTTTGACCTTCCACCTCTTCTCTCAAACACCTATTTGGGTATCCAGGACAGATAGCAAGTGCTTATTTTCCTTTTTCTGCTTGTTTTCTACTCTTCCAAGCCCATCTCAAATGAAATTTTTTTTCATTGAAGCATTTATTGATTCCCTACAGCCAGAAATACTTTCTGCCTTCTCTAAAATATAATTACTACTTTTATTGCACTTTCACATTTTACCTTGTATTTATACTTGTATTCGTGTTCCTGAAGCTTCTCCTCGCCTCCCCCATTACCTTGTATTTATTTTATATGCACTTAGGTGTATGTAATGCCTCTCCTGAGAGAATGTAATATCTCTGAGGGCAGGGGTTTGGTAATTTTTATCTTTTTGTCTTCACTGCCTCGTAGTACCTGGTACGTTAGTTTCTTAGTAAATGTTTGTTGATGGAGCAGTCTCTCAGATAAGGAATGCTGAGTTCTGTGAGGGCAGGGGCTGTTAAGTTCTATGGTTCCCATAACACCTGCTACAGCTCCTTGTACATCTAAGATCCTCTGTGTATGTCTTGTAAGACAATGAGAACCCTTTTCTCGACCAATGCAGATCAGCAACTACTATAATTTCAGAGTTTCCTGGAGTGTCTCAGGATGACCCAGCCGGTAATGGTAGGGGTGGAACTTGAACACAGGCCTCTCTTGCTCCAAGACTGGGTTGAATTTAGGTGTATAGTGTGTGTGTGTGTGTGTGTGTGTGTGTGTGTGTTTTAGGTTATATGAATTTTACTTCAAACTGTATTGGCAAGTATTGATACTCAGATAATTTGACATAAAAAATAACGAATAAACTATAATAAAAGGATTGTGATTGCACATGTATGTAAACTTCATTTACTTAGGATTTTTTAATCCCAAATGAAAATGTGAATTTTGACTCTAGCATCCCCATTGCTTTTTTTTGGGGGGGTGGCAGGATGTGTGTGAGGAATGAGATCTTTCTAAGCCTTCTTTTCTATTTAATGTTGATTTGTTGGCTTTTTTATTTTTTCATGACCTAGTGTTGTTTGAATGAATAGAGGCAGATAGGTGGCACAGTGTTGGATGTTGGACCTGGCATCATGAAAACTTGAGTTCCTATTCAATCTCAGATATAAAGTTGTGTGTCCCTGGGCCAACTGCTTAATTGCTGTCTGTTTCCTCATCTGTAAAATAGGGATAATAATAACTCCTACTTCCCAGGGTTGTTTGGATAAAATGAGATAATATTTGTAAAGCATTTTGCAAACCTTAAAGCACTGCAAAGTGCTAGCTATTACTATTATTAATTTTTGTCCCTTTCCCATTTTTGAATATGGAAATGATTACTCTTGTGTTTTGATATTATTTGATACTATTGATATTTTATACAGTGTCCTGTCTAGTCTTTTTATACATCTTCCTAGTCAATATTAATTGGTAATGTTTAAGCATGGAGAGATTTTTAAATATTTGCTTTTAAGCCAGAAATTTAGACTAAGGCCTGATTTATTAAAAACTTATTGCACATAATAATTACAATTTGATTTTTTTTTTTTTACTCCCTTAGGGAAGAAACCCTTTTTTCCTGGAGCCAGCAATAATTATAACAATTACTGATGGGAGCAAGTTGACTACTACCAGTGGAGTCCAGGAGGAGGTAAGCTTTGCTTACTTCATCATTCATAATACAAATGCAGTTTTAAAAAACAATTTTCCTATACACTCAATTCTTGGTTATCTTCCAGTGGACTATATAATGTTTTGAGTTTGTGATAATCCAAAGCCATCTCTCTCCCATTGCCTGAACTGCTTTCTTTTCTTTTTCTTTTTTTTTTTGTGCAATTGGGGTTAAGTGATTTGCTCAGGGTGTCATAACTAGTAAGTGTCAAGTGTCTGAGGCCAGATTTGAACTCAGGTCCACCTGACCCCAAGGACCAGTCTACAGTGAGAACAGGGAACTGAGACCATGGTTGTTTAAAACCAAGTTAAAATTTTGTTTAGATTATAATGCAAAATTAAGGGGTCCTCTTTACACCATATGAGTAGTTAAGAATGCTCCTTAGCCAAAATTTTGAATTATTCACCTCTCGTAGCAGGAATTGACATGCAGCTAATTATTTATGTCAGTGTATAGGAATAGAATGCATGTGTAAATTTAACGCACAGATAATACATTTTACTTATCTTTCGATTTTAAACTTCTTTCTACCTATCTTTTTCTGATAGCTGTTAATAAGTAGTCAGATTGAGTTTGAGTTTTTTTCCTTCTCTATTTATTGGGCTTTCTTTGGGAAATTTAATGAAACATGAAATAGCCAGAAAATGGGAGAAGATCATTTTGGTGTGATGAGCATTCTTTAAACATTATTCCTCTTTGCTGATTTTGTTTTTAGCCTTTTTTGGTTGACTTCATGTTATAATTGAAAAAAATTCTTCTTTTTGCTTTCTACTTTTAACTTTTGGTGAGGAGTTGCTTTCAGTGTATATATACATATATGTGTCTGTAATGTATACACATGTATGTATGTGTATACATAGGCATGTATGTGCATACACATATCTGTATATGTGTGTATGTGCTTTTTGCCCTTCATAAAAATATCTTTTGGGCATACTATTAGGTTTTATCTGACAAGTCACTGTGTATCTCTCTGCTTTGTTTGGACTATTTTATCATTTGTTCTTCTCTAGCCTTTTTCTCATGTATTTATATATTGTACAATATTTTGATTTGTGAACTGACATCAGGATGTCTTCTGTCTTATTCTTGGGATAAATATTGGGTGAAGTCTGATTGTTGACTTAAAGTTTGAGAGCTATTCACCTGAGAGATGGGCAAGAGGTGCCCTGTGTCAATATTATATGATGAGTTATACTGTTGGAAATGTGTATCATTTTATACTTGTGTGGGAGAATAAACTTGATGTTTTTGAACTCTGTTTTTACAAATATGGTTTGTTCTTAGTTATGTTGTTTTGTTGCTTGATGTAGTTCTGACGCCTGTTGCCTTTTCATCATCTTTTTCCCTGCAATATCTAAAATGATGTACTGAGTGTAGGTATACTTTGGGCTATATAAACAGTAGTACTTTTGAGCTATCCAGGACAACATGCATTTTCCCCCCCTTGATTAGGAGATTTTTACCAAAAGGTCAAAAAAATCAAGAAGTGATCACTGATAATCTCATAACTCTGTGAAAGCTCTAGGTGTAGGTGGATCAAAGTAGAAGGATCCATAATTTCCCCAGTATAATGATATGACAGATGTGAAAAGTTGAAACACTCTACAGATGTTATTTGTTAAATACTAACAAATGGCTTGCTAGTCACAGTTTGGTTCTTTGTACATCATGACGTAAAAATTTGTATATAACACTTCATATTTCAGTTATTCTTGCCCTTTCTGTATAATAATTTAATGATTGCTAACACAGAGATCTGATTCTTTTGATTGCTTAAGGTAGACTGTTAGTATCATTAGTGATATGTTTAGTAAATTTGGTGATGAAGATACAGTAATGATGCATTACTAATACTAAGCTGAGGTATTTTGTAAACTCAAGATTGAAAAATTGGTGTTTCCTTCTTATAGAATTTACCTGGTTATCACACCAGCTTTTTATTGTTATGCTTTGACAGAAATATTTGTTTTTTGTTTTTTTTTCCATCGGGATTGAGATTTCCTCCAATTTTGAGAAGCCTCTCTGGACTTACAACTATATTGATATTGTGGTCTAATGGAATGTGCGTGTTTGTTTTTTTGAACTATGGAACCTGTGGAATTGACTTCAGTAGGTACAATGTGATATATTTTGATTAGGTGAAGAGATTATTCACTTATTGACCAGAAAACTCATGAGATAGCTGAAGTTCCTTTAGAGCTTTTTCACTGCATGGGGTTTAGATAATTATACTAAGAAACCATTGGGCTTGATTATTTCCAGATGAGTAATGAAAAAAGGAGAAGTTGGAGGTTTTTTCAGATCACATTTTAAAAGGAAGCCATTTGATAATCAGAAGAGAGATGTATAATACAAATGATAATTGAGTATTTCCTGGAAAGATAAGAATTCACTGAAATACCTCTTCTTAGTGAACACTAACTGGCTACAGTACATTGGGTTGATTCTTCCTTTGTCACATCTCTCATATTTGTTATTTTCTATCTGTCCTTGGTGCCACTACTCTCTTTAATGAGTAGCTAGCTCATCACTAGTAATTTGATGGCTCATCTCTTTGTTTCCAAGGAAGCAGCACATCTCTTTCAGAATTATTCTCCTGAAACACAAACCGGTCCTTTGTTCAAGAACTTGAGGTCCTTCCCCTTTGTTTGCTATGCCTGAATCTAAACCCATGTTCCTCTTCAAGGGCCTCCATAATCTCACCACATCCTACCTATATCCAACTTTATTTTCTACTCTTCCCAACTCACCTGCTGTCAAAGAATCTTTACTATGGCCGAAGCGTGTCATAGGAATCCCTACCTCAAGCTTTTGTTTATGCTATGCCCCAACACTGTAATATCACCTCTCTTCTTGAAGCCTTTGTAAATTTTATCTCAAGTTGTCATCAATAATAACAATAAAAAAATTAACATGGTATTTTAGGCTTTAAAATGTATTGTATTTGATCCTTAAAATCCTGTTACAGAGGATTTAAAATTTAAAGTAAAATTTAATTATCCCCATTCTGACACTGAGAAAACCAAACCTCAGTAATAAGGTTTATGTTACTTGTCCAGGGTCTCATGATTTGTATGATAGAACTGAAGTATGAATGTGATACTTCTGAACTCAAGTCCACTCTGCTTAGCTAGAAAATGAAGTTTAAAATCAAAAACAAAAAAACAAACTAGTGCTCTTTCCACTAGACCCCAACAGTCATTACGCATTTAGAGGTTGCACCACACTGTTTATAGCTAGACTTGACTTGTTTTCCACAACACCTAGCAGAATGCTGGATCTATAACACGTGCTCAGTCAATACCGGATTGATTGATCCTAGACAAATTAGTGTTGTGCACTAATTTGTACACTCTAAGGCACACTTTGTACTAGTAAACTTTAAATTGACTATCTCCATTTGTCTGTGGCACTGCTTTTGTTTACCTTCAAGACAGGGCATCTAGAGGAAGGATGACCATATAATATAAGCTCATGGGAAACTGCATGGTTCTCGTCATAAGAGCAAGCTCATGCCTTTATCTTAAAAATTAAGGAAAGGTTTTGACTCTTTACACAAATGTTATACAAACAAATTATAGTGCTCTTAATGGGCACATACATAGGAAAAAGAAACATATCTGTTGTACTAAGTGAGCTGTTAAATTTAGTAAGAGACTTTAATACAATTCATTTGTGCGATTTGAGAGGAATGCACATTACCCAAAGACAAAATTATTGCTGACTATTGCAACTGCTAGTTGATTCTCCATAATTTATCTTTTACCTTGAACCAATTTTCTATTAGTTTGTCATATTTACAAAATTTAAAACAATAAGCCATTCATGAAAAACCATTCTTTATTGTTGGCTTAGTAAATTACATACTTCTGAATAATGGTCCATATGAAGCAATATTTTATTTGACAAAAGGCATGTCTTCTGTGACATTAACTGGTAAAATCATTTGAACAGGATTGTTGCCAAGGTGGCAGAGCTGAGTGATATCTTATTTTGTATCCCAGATTAAAAACTTGGGATGTATATTATTGTTTGGTTTTAATTGTTGTTTCATTTGCCTTTATTTGATGCTCAAGTGTGTTGTATGTTTTTCTAGAACATTCATATAGCAATTTACATATAATTTTGTTTAGAATTTTTGGTGACACAAAATCTGCTAGAATAATTTCATAGTTGACTGGAAGTATAGGTTTTGTACATTTTCAGACAGAATCATGTAAAACTTAACATTTTGCATTTTCAGTCCTTTTATTGAGTGATTAATATAGCTCAGAAAAGATACCAACTCTCACACAACCAGTCAAATTACAATATGGCAGTTAACTAAAATTTTGCTGAACTCCCTTCCAGCCAATCATACTTTTTTCCATTGCCTGTCCTACTGATAGCAAGTCCTTTTGTATAAATGATAAATACCATTGCTGCAGAACTGCATTATAACTAAAATAATCAACCATATCATGCATCCAGGAGGTCATAGTTGATGATACTGTTCAGTAGGCAGTCCAGAAGCTCTACCAGATTATTTTCATTAGCACCTAGTGGCGAGATTCTATGATAGGCATACCAGTTAGCATTTTTAAAAAATTCTCGTAGGTAGCAATAATAGTTTATCTTTGAAATGCAGAGATGTGTGTGTCTGTGTGTGTGTATGTGTGTGTGTGTGTGTGTCTGTGTCTGTGTGTGTATTGATTTATATTAGGATTCCTTTTTTTTACCAAACTTTTTTTTTTACCAAAATTGTTTTGATGAAATTTGAAGTTGAAAAAACATGTGCTTGCTATTGACATTAAAAACTATTGTTTCTCATTAGTTTTCCCAGTAGATATTATTCAGGTTGATCAGATGTGCCATTGTTTTTGGCCTCAAAGCTCCTTTATCAAATTCTGTTTCTAACCTTCTCACAGGGCCCGGTGAATTAATTTATAAAGTAGATGTTTAATTATAATACAGGTTTATAGGAAATGTCTACAGTT